AGCATGATGTATATTTTTTCCATGATTTGGTTTCTTTCCTTAACATTATGTTTGAGATTCATTCACGTTGACCCTTGTATTAATTTCCATTGCTACATAGTAGTCTGTTGTGATTACACACAAGTTTTCTTTATCAGTTTTGCTTATGATGGACATTTATTTCCAATATTTTGTTCTTACAGTGATGCTATACATATTCTTGTACATGTCTCTTGTATATGTGATAGAGTTTCTGTTCTAGGTATATACTTGGAAGCAGATTTGTAGATAAGTATTGCTCAGCCATCTCACTAGCACTTGGAATTGCAGCCCTTTTCTATTTTCCCTGATTGGCTATATGTTAATTTATTTTGAATTTCTCTGATTATTTTTGAGGTTTTCATTTTATGTTTACTGGCCATTTAGTTTTGCCTTCTATGAGTTTCTGGTTCATCTCCTTTGACAATTTTACTTATATGCAATTCACCTTTTTAAATTGAGATCAACTTTTTTGATTCAGTTATTAATATGTGTTGTAAATATAATCTCTTTTTACTTTGATAAAAGATGATAATGTCAAATTTAGCCAATCTTTCTCCTTTTGGGTTTGTGTCTTCTACGTCATATTTAAGAAATCTTTTTCTGGTGGCTCATGCCTGTAATCCCAGCACTTTGGGAGACCAAGGTGGGCAGATCACCTAAGGTCAGGAGTTCGAGACCAGCCTGGCCAACATGGTGAAACCCCATCTCTACTACTAACACAAACAATTAGCTTAGCATGGTGGCAGGCACTGGTAATCCCAGCTACTCAGGAGGCTGAGGCAGGAGAATTGCTTGAACCCAGGAGGCAGAGGTTGCAATGAGCTGAGAATGAGCCACTGCGCTCTAGCCTAGGCAACAAGAGTGAAACTCTGTCTCAAAGAAAGCAAGAAACCAAAAAACCAGAAATCCTTTTCCACCTAGAATTAATGACATACATAAATAGATATATAGATATTATGTCATGTCATATTATGTTGACTACATTATAACATAGTATTACATATACATTAAATTATACCTTGTTAATCCATTTGAGGTTTATTTTTATATATGGTATGGAATAGGGACCTGAAATCTGATTTTGTTTTTCAAAATTGATAATTTCCTAAATAGCTCATCTTTTATGGAATAATCCCTCATTCCTTTATCCATCTTTATGTCATCTTCATAGATTAACATATGAGTACCTTTCTTCATTTATACTGGCTTCACTCTTTTGTCTATCCTTATTCCAATTGCATACTGCCTTAATTATTTTAGTCTTATAAACTAAAATAACCTTGATCAAATTAAGACTCAACGGTTGTTGTTTTTTGTTGTTTTTTTTTTTTGGCAAGACTATCTCATGTGTGGTATGTTGCACTTCTACCAGGACATATGTAACATCTGATTTCTCTCTTTCTTATGGTTTCCATATCGTTAGATTACTTCCTTTTTCTTTCTGCTCCACCCTTTGTTTTCAAATTGCCTTTGTAATCTTGGGCTTATTCTTTTCCCATGTAAATTTAAAAACTGTGTTTTTATCACTGATAAATTTGAATATTTCTATCTTATTTTTTATTTCCCTGAATTTTTAACTTCTTTCATCTTTTCTGCCTATTGATGATTGATTGTAGCTTTTTAAAAATAGACCATTTGGGTTTGAATTACATGGGGCCCCTTTGACTATTCTTTTACCTATGTTTTTTCTATGCATAATAGTTGTACAATTTTCTGGTTATGTATCATAATTTGACACATTCATATAATTAAATCTGGGCAATTGGGATATCTGTCACCTTAAATATTTATCTTTTCTTTGTGCTAGAAACATTCAAATTGTTCTCCTCTAGCCATTTTGAAATGTAACTATGATATAGAAGCTTTATTTGAATATTTTTTAAGTTAAAGGAATTAAATTATCAAGGAAATGGAAACATTGATTGAATATCTTTTATTGAAGATTCACTTTTAATTTTTAAAAATGTAATGATGGTGTTGAGATTGTCTTAAAAGAAGAGCATTTCAAAATAATTTGTGACCTGGTGGTGGAAGATATGGGATTCTTTAGGGGGAAATAAGTAAAAATCTACATAGATAATAATTGGCCATATATCGGTAATTGCTGAAGCTGGGCCATTGGTGATCATTACCTAAACCCATACATTCATCAGGAGTTTTTAAAAGTGATAGGTCAATTTGGACAACTTCTTGTACATTTATTTCCTGGAATATGTCTACAAAGAGATACTCTCACAGTAATTATTTGTGTTGTCTGAAGCCTCAGGAACACTTTTAGGAAATAAAAAGCTTATTCTTAATTCTTTCTAAATTTATTTTCTAAATGAGATAATTTCTATACCCTCCAAAGGTAGCCAGAGTGTTTATTTCTGTAAATCATAAATTATTAGTATCATATCAAACTTCTGGATTTATATTTATTTGATATGTTTTAATCCACTGCAGTTGTTATTTTTATTGATGCATGAAGTTTTCCATCTTTGACCAGAGCAGCTTAATCATATGACATTATGAGCCCCTGAGTAGGATTTTTGAGAGCTTTCTTACTTTCTGGTATGAAGATGTTCCTGGGTTATCCTGTGCCTTTCCTGCCCAGAGGTGGAATCTGCCATATTTCTGATGAGGGTTCATCTTTTTATTTCATTTATACTCTACTTTGGTAGAATATATATATTATATTTCCATTTTTTAATGACTTCCCAGAAAAATTTAACATATTTGGCTTACCCGAAACATACAGTCTTATCTTTGTAAATAATAGAAAGATATTAAAAGTTTACCTGTGAAAAATCCTCTATTAGCTTGCTAGGGCTGCCATAACAAAGTATTATAAGCAGGTGGCTTAAACAATAGAAATAAGTGGATTCACAGTTCAGGAGGTTAGAAGTCCAAAATCAAAGTGAGCAGGGTTGGTTCATTCTGAGGATTCTAAGAAAAGTGTCTGATCCAGGTCTCTCCCCTAGCTTGTGGTTTGCTGGTAGTCTTAGGGATTCTTTGGTTTGTAGAATCATCATCTGTGTCTCTGCTTTGATGAGCACATGGTGTTCTTCCTATGTGTATGTATCCTCTCTTTGGATCCAAATTCCTCCCATCTGGCTGGGTGTGGTGGCTCATGCCTATAATCCCTACAAGCACTTTGGGAGGCCGAGGAGTGCAAATCCTTTGAGCCCAGGAGTTCAAGACCAGCCTGGGCAACATACAGAAGTACTGTATTTTTTTGGCTCTACAAAAAAATACGAAACTTAGCTGGGCATGGTGGCTCACATCTGTTGTCCCAGCTACTCAGGAGGCTGAGGTGGGAGAATCACTTGAGCCAGGGAAGCAGAGGTGGCGGTGAGCCGAGATGGTGCCACTGTACTCCAGCCTGGGGGATGGAGGGAGACACTGACTCAAAACAACAACAACAAAAAATAAAAACAAGAAACAGTAAGAAACAATCCCCCCTATTTTATAAGAGCATCTGTGATATTATATAAGAATCCACCCTAATGATCTCATTTTTTTTGAATCGTACTTTAGGTTCTGGGGTACGTGTGCGGATCATGCAGGATTGTTGCATAGTTACATACATGGCAAGGTGGTTTACTGCTCCAGCCTCACCATCTATATCTGGCATTTCTCTCCATGTTATTCCTCCCCAATATCCTCATCACCTGCTGTCCCTCCCCTACCCCCCAACAGACCCCAGTGTGTAATGCTCACCTCCCTGTGTCCATGTGTTCTCATTGTTCAACACATGCCTATGAGTGAGAGCATGTGGTGATTTTCTGTTCTTGTGTCAATTTGCTGAGAATGATGGTTTCCAGATTCATCCATGTCCCTACAAAGGACACAAATTCTTCATTTTTTATGGCTGCATAGTATTCCATGTTGTACATGTGTCACATTTTCCTTGTCCAGTCTATCGTTGATGGATATGTGGGTTGGTTCCAGGTCTTTGCTATTGTAAACAGTGCCGCAATGAACATACGTGTGCATGTCTTTATAATAGAACAATTTGTAATCCTTTGGGTATAAACCCAGTAATGGGATTGCTGGGTCAAATGGAATTTCTATTCTAGGTCCTTGAGGAATCGCCACACTGTCTTCCACAATGGTTGAACTAATTTACACTCCCACCAATAGTGTAAAAGTGTTCCTATTTCTCCACATCCTCTCCAGCATCTGTTGTCTCCAGATTTTTTAGTGATTGCCATTCTAACTGGCGTGAGATGGTATCTCAAAGTGGTTTTGATTTGCATTTCTTTAATGACCAGTGATAATGAGCATTTTTTCCTATGTTTGTTGGCTTCATATATGTCTTCTTTCACAAAGTCTGTTCATATCCTTCACCCACTTTTGAATGTTTTCTTTTTTCTTGTAAATTTGTTTTAGTGCTTTATAGATTCTGGATATTAGCACTTTGCCAGATGAGTAGATTGCAAAAATTTTTTCCCATTCTGTTGATTGCTGGTTCATTATAATGATTGCTTCTTTTGCTGTGCAGAAGCTCTGGAGTTTAATTAGATCACATTTGTCTGTTTTGGCTTTTGTTGCCAATGCTTTTGGTGGTTTAGTCATGAAGGCCTTGACTATGCCTATGTCCTGAATGGTTTTGCCTAGGTTTTCTTCTAGGGTTTTTTTTTTTTAACTGGCTTTTGCTTTATTGTATAATTTACCCAGGAACCCTAAATCCCACACTTGGTTTTTCTCTTCTGCCTTCATTATTCTTTCAATAGCTCCATCAAGAGAGATTATTTCTCCAGCAGCACATGTAGGGCATGTGTGTCCTGGTTGACAATCAAACCACAAGATCCCAGCCCTCCACCATGGATGCCTGAGCCCTCCCATTTGACTGCACGCATGGCTGTCTGTGCTGGCGCTCTGTCCTGCTCCTGTCACCCCTGAGGCGTTAGGGTAGGAATGCCAAACAGGCTCCAGGTAATGTGTCAACTCTGAGTAAATACAAGAGTCTGCTAGGAGCCCCTGGCTGAGGACTGAGAGGCAGGCTGTATCTGGGTTCCATGTCAAAGAATGCTGTGATCCATTAGCAATGTCTGCATGGCAACACCCATTAGAAGTACCTGGAAGGAGGGTTTTGGGAACAGGCTCAGAAAGGAACAAGGCGTGTCTATTCCATTCTTCCCCTAGGTGGTTGTTTTGCCAGCCAGGCTGTGCTGTCTCAGTGGCCAGGTGGCTAAGGAGGAAGTCCCAAGGCCACAGAGTTGCAAGTGGCTTCTCTGGGGACTGCAGGGAATAAATAGCACAGGCCCCAAGCTACAGGAAGCTCGCAAGGGCACCCACACTGGGTCCTGCGGGGTTCTGCATATGGCAGGCCACCTGGCATTATCAGCTTCTGACCCTCTGGAGTCCATCTCATCCAGGAGAGGAGAGCTGGCTGGCCTCAGAGCGTTAGCTGCAACTTGGGGGTAAAAACATTTACCTCCGGATAAACTTAGAAACTTTCCATCCAAACGAAAAGGGTATATCTTCTATATGTTGCCAAGAAACCTAAACTGAGGACAAGGACAGTTTTACTTTAATCAAGTTCCAGAATGAGGGTGCACAGCTTCGAAGAGCAGTCTGTAGCAGAAGATGTAAGGGTGTGTGTAAACCCGTGTGTCTAGAATATACCAAAGGAAACACATACAACCCCAGCATGGCCTTTGGCGAACCCTCAATGCTGCTCCATCCCGGGGGTAGGCAGCGACTTCGTCCAGCTGACATTGGGAATGTCGTAATGCTCCATGAGTGTGTCCAGGTGTCTGTCAAAGTCCTCCACTCTCTGCTTCTGGGTTTTGGATGCTTTCTTCAGGATCCTTTCCATTTGCTGCTTCTCCTGCACTTTCTCGAAGGCTGCCTGGGCCGGGGTCTGCTTGTCCAGGCTGCGTTGCTTCTCCTCCTCCTCCTTTTTGCTCATTCCCATTGCTTCCAGGAGTTTCACTTTGTCTTTGTCCTTATTTTTCTTCTTCCGCTTAGTCACTCTGAGTTCTGCAATGCCTTTCAGCTTCAGGGGTCCCTTTTGGACCTGCTCATAGGCTTCCATGACACTCCCCAGTGGTTCATTGATGGACTCTTCTTCTAGGGTTTTTATGGTGTTAGGTCTAATGTTTAAGACTAATCCATCTGGAGTTAATTTTAGTGTAAGGTGTCAGGAAGGGGTCCAGGTTCTGCTTTCTGCACATGGCTAGCCGGTTTTCCCAACAACATTTATTAAACAGGGAATCCTTTCCCCATTGCTAGTTTTTGTGAGGTCTGTCAAAGATCAGATGGTTGTAAATGTGTGGTGTTGCCTCGGAGGCCTCTGTTCTGTTCCATTGGTCTATATCTCTGTTTTGGTACCAGCACCATGCTGTTTTGCTTACTGTAGACTTGTAGTATAGTTTGAAGTCAGGTAGCCTGATGCCTCCAGCTTTGTTCTTTTCGCTTAGGATTGTCTTGGCTATGCAGGCTCCTTTTTGATTCCATGTGAAGTTTAAGGTATTCTTTTCCAGTTCTGTGAAGAAGGTCATTGTTAGCTTGAAGGGGATAGTGTTGAATCTGTAAATTACTTTGGGCGGTATGGCCATTTTCACAATATTGATTCTTCCTAACCATGAACATGGAATGTTTTTCCATCTGTTTGTGTCCTTTCTTATTTCCTTGAGCAGTGGTTTGTAGTTCTCCTTGAAGAGGTCCTTTACATCCTTTGTTAGTTGTATTCCTAGGTATTTTATTCTCTTTGTAGCAATTGTGAATGGGATTTTGCTCTTGATTTGGCTCTTTGTTAGTCTGTCATTGGTGTATAGGAATGCTTGTGATTTTTGCACATTGATTTTGTATCCTGAGACTGCTGAAGTTGCTTATCAGTTTCAGGAGTTTTTGGGCTGAGATGATGGGGTCTTCTAAATATACAATCATGTCATCTGCAAATAGAGACAATTTGACTTCCTCCTTTCCTAATTGAATGCCCTATATTTCTTTTTCTTGCCTAATTGTTCTGGCTAGAACTGCCAATACTATATTGAATAGGAGTGATGAGAGAGGGCATCCTTGTCTAGTGCCAGTTTTTAAAGAGATTGCTTCTAGTTTTTGCCCATTCAGTATGATATTGGCTGTGGGTTTGTCGTAAATAGCTTTTGTTATTTTGAGATACATTCCATTGATACCTAGTTTATTGAGAGTTTTTAGCATAAAGTGCTGTTGAATTTTTTTTGAAGGCCTTCTCTGTATCTATTGAGATAATCATGTGGTTTTTGTCTTTGTTCTGTTTATGTGGTGGATTATGCTTATAGACTTGTGTATGTTGAACCAGCCTTGCATCCCTGGGATGAAGCCTACTTGATCATGATGGATAAGTTTTTTGATGTGCTGTTGCATCTGTTTGCCAGTATATTATTGAAGATTATTGCATCTATGTTCATCATGGATATTGGCCTGAAGTGTTCTTTTTTTGTTGAGTCTCTGCCAGGTTTTGGTATCAGGATGATGTTTGTCTCATAAAATGATTTTGGAAGGATTCCCTCTTTTTGTATTGTTTGGAATAGTTTCAGAAGGAGTGGTACCAGCTCCTCTTTGTATGTCTGGTAGAATTCGGCTGTGAACCCATCTGGACCTGGGCTTTTTTTGGTTGTTACGCTATTAATTGCCACCCTAACTTCAGCCCTTGTTATTGGTCTATTCAGGGTTTTGATGTCTTCCTGGTTTAGGCTTGGGAGGGTGCAAGTGTCCAGGAATTTATCCATTTCTTCCAGGTTTATGGGTTTGTGTGCATAGAGTTGTTTGTAGTAATCTCTGATGGGAGTTTGTATTTTTGTGGAATCAGTGATATCCCCTTTAATGTTTTTAATTGCATCCATTAGATTGTTCTCTTTTCTTTTTTATTAATCTGGCTAATGGTCTATTTTTCTTTTCAAAAAACCAGCTCCTGGATTTATTGATTTTTTTTGAAGGTTTTTTTTTTTGTGTCTCAGTCTCCTTCAGTTCTGTTCTGATCTTAGTTATTTCTTGTCTTCTGCTAGCTTTTGAGTTCTTTTGATCTTGTTCTTCTAGCTCTTTCAATTTTGATGATAGGGTGTCGATTTTAGAGCTTTCCTTGCTTCCCATGTGGGCATTTATTGTTATAAATTTTCCTCTAGACACTGCTTTAAATGTGTCCCAGAGATTCTGGGTACATTGTGTCTTTGTTCTTGTTCAAGAGCTAGTTGTTCAGTTTTCATGAAGCTGTGCAGTTCCGAGTTTCTTAATTTTGAGTTCTAATTTGATTGCACTGTAGTCTGAAAGACTGTCTGTTATGATTCCTGTTCTTTTGCATTTGTTGAGGAGTGATTTACTTCCAATTACATGGTCAATTTTAGAGTAGGTGTGATGTGGTGCTGAGAAGAATGTATATTCTGTGGATTTTTGGTGGAGCATGCTGTAGATGTCTATTAGGTCCACTTGGTCCAGATGTGAGTTCAAGTCCTGGATATCCTTGTTAATTTTCTGTCTCATTGATCTAATATTGGCAGTGGAGTGTTAAAGTCTCCCACTATTATTGTGTGGGAGTCTAAGTCTCTTTGTGTGTCATTAAGAACTTGCTTTATGTATCTGGGTGCTCCTGTATTGGGTGCATAGATATTTAGGATCATTAGCTCTTCTTGTTGCATCGATCTTTTTACCATTATATAATGCCCTTCTTTGTCTCTTTTGATCTTTGTTGACTTAAAGTCTATTTTATCAGAGACTAGGATTGCAACTCCTGTTTTTTTTTTGCTCTCCATTTGCTTGGTAAATCTTCCTCCATCCCTTTATTTTGAGCCTATATGTGTCCTTGCATGTGAAATGGGTTTCCTGAATAAAGCACACTGATGGGTCTTGACTTTTTATCTAATTTACCAGTCTGTGTCTTTTGATTGGGGTATTCAGCCCATTTACCTTTAAGGTTAATATCATTGTGTGTGAATTTGATGCTGCCATTTTGAGGCTAGCTGGTTGTTGTGCCCATTAGTTGATACAGTTTCTTCATTATGTCAATGGTCTTTATTATTTGGTACATTTTTGGAGTGGCTGGTACTGGTAGTTCCTTTCCATGTTTAGTGCTTCTTTCAGGAGGTCTTGTAAAGCATGCCTGGTGGTGATGAAATCTCTCAGCAATTGCTTGTCCATAAAGGATTTTATTTCTCCTTTGCTTATGAAGCTTAGTTCAGCTGGATATGAGATTCTGGATTGAAAGTTCTTTTCTTTAAGGATGTTGAATGTTGGCCCCCCACTCTCTTCTGGCTTGTAGAGTCTCTGCTGAGAGATCTGCTGTGTGTCTGATTGGCTTCCCTTTGTGGGTAACCCAACCTTTCTTTCTGGCTGCCCTTAGCATTTTTCCTTCATTTCAATCCTGGTGAATTTGACAGTGACTTGCCTTGGGGTTGCTCTTGCTGAGGAATATCTTTGTAGTGTTCTCTGTATTTCCTGCACTTGAATGTTGGCCTGCCTTGCTAGGTTGAGGAAGTTCTCCTGATTAATATCCTGGAGAGTGTTTTCCAGCTTAGATCTTTTCTCCCCATCACATTCAAGTATACCTATCAAACATAGATTAGGTCTTTTCATATAATCCCATATTTCTTAGAGGCTTTGTTCATTTCTCTTCACTCTTTTTTCTCTAATCTTTCCTTCTCACTTTATTTCATTGTGTTGGTTTTCAATCTCTGACATCCTTTCTTCTGCTTGGTCGATTTGGCTGTTGAAACTTGTGTATGCTTCATGAAGTTCTTGTGCTGTGTTTTTCAGCTCCATCAAGTCATTTATGTTCTTCTCTACACTGGTTATTCTAGTTAGCATTTCACCTGACTTTTTCCCCCAGGTTCTTAGTTTCTTTATACTGGGTTAGAACGTGTTCTTTTAGCTCAGAGAAGTTTGTTATTACCCACCTTCTGAAGCCTGCTTTTGTCAATTCATCAGCTTCATTCTTTATCTAGTTTTGTTCCCTTCCTGGTGAGGAGCTGTGATACTTTGGAGGAGGAGAGGCCTTCTGGGTTTTGGTGTTTTCATCCTTTTTACTCCAGTTTCTTCCCATCTTTGTGGATTTATCTACCTGTGGTCTTTGTAGTTGGTGACTTTTGGATGGGGTCTATGAGTGGACACCCTTTTTGTTGATGTTGAACCTATTTCTTTCTGTTTTTTAGTTTTCTTTCTAACAGTCAGGCCCCTCTCCTACAGGACCATGTGAGGTCCATTTCAGACCCTACTTCTCTAGGAATCACCTGCAGGGGCTGCAGAACAGTAAGGGTTGCTGCCAGTTTCTTCTGTTATCTTCATCCCAGAAGGGTACCCAACAGATGTTAGCCAGAGCTCTCCTTTATGAGGTGCCTCTTTGGATACCTAGGGGTCAGGGAGCCACTTGAGGAGACAGTCTGTCCCTTATCAGAGCTCTAGTGCTGTGCTGGGAGCTCTGTTCTTCCCTTCAGAGCTGCTGGGCAGGTAGGTCTAAGTCTGCTGCAGCAGAACTCATAACCACCTCTTTTCCCAGGTGCTCAGTCCTGGGAAGGTGGGGCTTTATTTATAAGTTCCTGACATGCTGCTGCCTTTTTTTAGAGATGTCCTGCCCAGCAAGGAGGTAGTCTAGTCACAGTCTGCCAGCAGAGGTGTTGCTGAGCTGGTGCAGGCTCTGCCCAGCTGCTGTGTGAACTTCCTTGTGGTTTTGTTTACAGAGGTACAGTTAGAACTGCCCTGGTAATGGCAGACTGCCTTGGTAGTGGTGGACTGCCTCAGTAATAGGAGATGCTCTTCCCCCCACAGAGCTGGACTGTCCCAGGTCCAGCTGTGCTTGCTGCAAAACTCGCAATCCAGAGCATTCAGATTGCTGGTCTTTGTTGGGGTGGGACCCGCTGAGCCAGATAGCCAGATCATCTGGCTCCCTGCTTTCAGCCCCCTCTTTTTCAGTTGAATGGGTGGCTCTGTCTCCCAGGCATTCCTGGCACCAGTTGAAACAGCTGCTAGATTTGTGTGAGTTTTTGTGCGTAAACCCACAGTGCCAGCTGAAACAGCTGTGTTGGAAACTTGTGGCACTTTTCAGGCCAGGAATATCCTCGTCTGTGTGTGGTAAAAATTGCAGGAGAAGTGCAGTATCTGAACCAGAGTGCTGAGTGGATGGAAAAGCCCCCAATGGCCTCCGTTGGGTAGGGAGGGGGTTCTTCCAGGGATTGCACTTCCCAGGTGAGGCAAAGCCCTGCCCT